GAAGAAAAGCAGGTACAAAATTTCTTCCAAAAGTATATGGAAAATGTATATTATGAAAAACTGTGTGTATATTTAAAATTTATATGCATCAAAATAAATCTGTATGTTTTCAGAAAAGTATACTTTGTTTTTTCAAGTCTCCTCATGCTAGCAAAAGCTTATAATAAGAACAGTGCAGTGTCCATGTAAATACAGAAAAAATTACATGTATTGATTAAAATATTTTAGTGGAGACAGCCCTGTAGTACAGTGGGTAAGAGCAGTGTGCAGAAAGAAAGCGAGATCCCACATGGCTGTATGCAGTTCAAATTCTGACTCTTGTGGCTTAGAAAACACTCTGGGTGCATGTGTGTGTGCACCCAAAAGTCCAATGGGAAGAAAAAATGGAAGATAAAAGGATTATGGCATGACCATGCCCTCTCTCCTCTAACTTGTCAAGATCTCGGGTACACATGCACATGTCTGGAGTGTTTTCAGGCAGGCACAGGGATCATAACCTCAACTGGCCATGTGACCTTGAGCACTCAGTTCAGTTCGCTATCAACCTTGCCCCAGACTGGGTCTTGTCCCTTCGTTAGGATTGTAATTTCCGCAAAAATTCTGATTGGGATTTTCTTTACATATGAAAGTGATTAGTAAAATAAACTTTCTCAAATATTTTCATCACATCATTCCCTTGTTTTAAAACAAGGAGAGTCTTTTAAACAGCCATGGGAACAAACCACAACTCTTTTCTCTAGTTTGCAAGACTACCTATTAACTAGCTACTATAGATCTATTAACGGAACACCTTCATTTGAGTCATTAAATTTTCATCATTACTTTTATGCTTTATATCTTTGAACATATAGATTTTGTGTTTGTTTTTTTTGTTTGTTTGCCTTAGGGCACATGTGTTTGCAGGACAGAGAGAGAGAGACAGAAACAATGCCAGGGAAAGTGAGAAATCACCCCCCTCAGGGGGTATGGCCATGCTGCAATCCCTTCTCCTCCATTCTCCTCCCAGGATCTTGGGCACACATGCATACATTTCTGGTGTGAATTTCAAGCCATTGGGTCCAGGACTCAAACAGTGGTTGCCATGTAGGAGTCAGCAACATAACTGCTATGCCATCTGCTGGCCTCAAACATATAGTTTTTAACTAAAAAAGTAGTAAAATATATGCATGAAAATATTCAGGTTATAGCATTGCTAAATTGCTTATATTTAGATCAAACCTTAAGATTAGTATAAGTACAGATTCCTGAAAAACAGAAAATCAAACTAATTGTCCTGCTAGCCATGTATATGGGACTTCAGGTTTATTTTATTTTTAAATTGTCATCTCATACTCAAAATATGCAAGTCAGTTAATAAAACTTAAAACTATTCTCAAGTTATTCATTTTTTAAGGAAGTATATCATTTGCTCTGTGACTAATTACTTCTGCACTCACTAGACAATGAAAATAAAGTATAATAATTGTAAATTAAATATTCCTAATCATATCTAAGGTTGCTTATTACATCATTTGGGACCTAAGTAATCCCAGAGTTGAATAGCTCTTAGCTCCAATTAAGTTCCTCATATCCTTAGGTTAAAAGTTCTAAGGTGAATATTCTATTATATAAATTTAAGGAGTAAGAGGCAAAGGGCTCAAAAGTTTATTTAAAGAAATAACAGCAGAAAATGCTCCACATCTCAGTACGGACATCAATATTCAGGTACAGGAAGGCAGGAAGTCTTCAATCAGATTCAATTCAAACAAGACTTCATCAAGACATACAGTAATTCAACAGTCAAATAAAAAATAACATAAAAAATAATTAAGGGTCCTGAAAGTAGCAAGGGAAAAGAAGCATGTCTCATATAAGAGAGATCCATATAGGTTAGAAGCAGGCTACTGTGAAGAAACCTTCCAGGCTAGGAAAGAGGAGAATGATGAATTTAATGTGTTGAAGAAAACACAAAAGCAAAACAAAAGAAGACAAAACTGCCAACCAAGAATACCCAGCTTAGCTGCCCTTTAAGAATAAAAAAGTTACAGACGTTCCCAGACAAAGGGAAAACTAAGGGAGTTTATCACCACAAAACCCACCCTAAAGGGAGCTCTTCCAGCTGAAAGAAAGGATGTTATTAGTAACACAAAAACATAGAAAAGCATAATTGATGGGAAAGGACATCCCCAAGTTTAGAAAATGCTAATACTGTAGCGGCAATATGGTAGTATGTAAGTCACTTATATCTTTAGTATAGAACTTAAAATACAAAAATATTAAAACTAATAATAGCTAAAATAATTCACTTGTAATAGCTATGGGGGTAGAAATGAATTTAACCAAGGGATGAAAGACCTGTATACTTAAAATTGTAAAACAATTGTTGAACAAACTTGAAGACACAGGTAAATATAAATATGAATAGAAAGAAATAACATGGTTAAAATGTTCATAATAACCGAAGTTATCTCTAGATTCAATACAATTCCAGTTAAAATTGCAATTCCATTTTTTCACAGAAATAGAAAGGAAAAAACAATTCTAAAATTTGTATGGCACCACAATTCACCCTGAGCAGTCAAAGTAATCTTGAGCAAAAATATCAAAGCCAGAGGCTACTTCAAAGCTGTAATCAGAACAGCATAATACTGGCATACGACGAGACATACAGACCAACAAAATAAAATATAGAGCCCAGAAATAGGTCCATGCATTTATGTGCTATTGTTTTTTAACCCAGATTATAAGAACACGTAATTGGGAACAGGCGTTTCAAAAATGGTGCTGGAAAATCTGGGTATCTAACTGCAGACAAATGAAATTAGACCATCATCTCAGATCACATACAAATCATAACTGACAATAGACTAAAACTTAAACAGAAGATCTGACACTGTAAAAGTACCAGAAGAAAACGCAGGAAAGCTCCATTATATTGGCTTGGGCAACGCTGTTTTGGATATGCACCCCAAATGTATAAGCAACAAAACAGGAAGAGGCAAGCATAATTATTTCAAACTAAATAGAGTGAAGACAAACCCTATGAAATGAGAGAAAATATTTGTAAATCATACTCTGATAAAGGATTAGTATCTAAAATATGAAAGAAGCTCAAACGACTCAATAACAAAAACAACAACTACAAAACAAAACAAACAAAACCCCGAACTATAAAAAAAAAAGAAAAGAAAAGAAAAAAAAAAACTAATTTAAAAAATTGGTAGAGTCTGAATAAAACTTCCTCAAAAGAAAGCGTTATGAATGAATAACTAACAGTTATTCATTGGTTGTTATTAAAGAAGATGAAAGATAACGAGTGTTGTCTAGGAAGTGCAGAACAAGGAATCTCTGTAGGCTATTGACAGGAAGGTAAATGAATACAGTCATCATAGAAAACAGTATGAAGTTTCTTCCAAAAATTAAAAAAAAAAAGGCTACTATATACAACCCATTACTACAATGTCACTACCACAGATACAGCCAAAGGAAATAAAATCAGTAGCCAGAGAGATATCTGAACTCTCCTGTTACAATATCATTCATAAGATATGGAAACAAACTAACAGTCAATAAATAAAGAAAACGTGAACTCATAACATAACACTATTCAGGCTTAGAAAAGCCAGAAACGAAAAGACAAACACTCGTATTTAACTCAGAGGCAGAATCCAAATTAACTCATAGAGTAGAAGTAAAGGGAAATGAATATAAGGAATAATTACAAGAGAACCTGGTGACTATCGTTGATAGCAATGTACAGAATTCTGGAAATTGATAAGAGAGTAGATTTATAAAGGTTCTTACAAGAAAAACATGAGAAGTTTGTGAGGTAATGCGAATATGTGAGGTAAAACAAATTTTAATCAGCTTAATCTAGCTATTGCACAATGTATTTATATTTTAAAACCTCATGTTGTGCATTATAAATAGGTAAGATTTTTATTTGTTGGTGAAAAAATGTTTTTAAACATACTAAACAGTTCTGATAGAAAACAAGAAGCTAAAATAAAAGGGGCCATAAAGAGCATTTTCTTCAAAGTCAATTAAATTTGACAAAGTACTCAGGTTTATCCTTGGAGTATACAAAGCTTAACAGCAGAAGATTCAGAAAAGATCACATGATTTCAAGAATCTCTAGTTCCTTTAGAGTTCTAGTTCTGACCTGTTATTTTTATTTACTTTTGTTAAATGCATTTACGCACAAAATAAATTTAGTTATACATAAAACAAGATAGGCACAAGTGACAGATCATGTAAGAATGTTGCACTGAGACCTTCAAAAGAGAATTATTCTCAGAATTACCTACCTAATTTGGTTTAAGATGTTTGGCTTTCTTATCTATCAATCACAGGATATATCTGTTATGCGATTAATAACAGATTAACAATGATTATATCTGGAAGTGCTGAGTTACTCAACTTTGTTACCCAAAATAATGTGATACATCAATAACAGAGATAATAGTGGAAGCCTTCTGAAGCTGAGTCTAGTACCAAATTCCCCAGAAAACCATTTTGGTTTTTGCTTGATCTGTATCTGCAATTGTGTGAGTTTCTAATACAAGCAACAGTATATTTGTTTGAGGTTATAGAAAGATCTTGGGGAGCGTCTCCATCTTGCATTTTACCACCCTCAGCAACTCAGCTTAGACAGGATGACCAGCCCATATGTGGCATTCTATGATTACGTTAGGTTCCGTGTTACAAACTACACCATATGCCAGATAGAGTAGGGAGTCTGTTACAGTGGGTTCTAGTTTAGATGAACAAGGCTTTAGGAGAGGCAAGAAGACTACATTAATTACTCTTTGGGATATTTTAGTTTTATCCTTTTATAGTTTTGACATGTATGTGAGAAATTGTTAAAGCTTCGGTGGAGATTTTTCTAATGCTTATTAATTTCATTCTTACTGTACCATACAATTTTTAGTGTTTCGGAATCTAAACTATTCAAAACTATATTTTGTCAATACCACAGTTAGTAAAATGCAAATTGGGATGTTATTTGTAAATATCCTTACCTTCACATCATTGGTGTTCATCCTCGTCCCCTCCTTTCCCACAAATATGTCATCAATGTCCACGAGGATGTACCTGTCCAAGGACAGTGTCAGCCTCTTCCCTGATAAGAAGGAGACGGCATCGATGAAGATGAGCTTGTGCAGCCAAAAGTTCAAGTTGTTGCCAAAAAGAACTCGCTGAATCCCATCATGAAGCCCCAGATCCTGAATTACCGTGGCATAGAGTCTTTTGCCGGACATGGGTGAGAGGGATTTTTCTGTCTGTAATTCAGTTAAAAGCACAGGCTGGTAGGTGGAATGATTGTATTGGAAAATAGTCCAGTCTTCCCCAGGAAGAGGGCCTTTCTCAACCTTGGGAGCTTTGGTAATATGCAGCAAAGGAGACTGCGCATTGACGAAACAGTCCTTTAGAGCTAGATTATTGAAAAGACTTAATGGAAAGCCTTTTAATTGTATACTTGGTAAGCTGTTCTCATTGGCTTTATGAAAACCGATTATACTAACACTGTATTCCACACAGTATTTTTCCAAAAGCTCTCGATTCCATGAGTCCATGCTGACATACTTGAGAATATTTTCATAAATAACTAAGGTATACTTCCCTTTGCCATTAGCTGTAAGGGGAGGTATGTCTCCCTTCCCGGGGGCAATAACCATGTGGTACTGAAAACGGCTGGACTCCAGAATAGCTATGATATCTTGACCCAGCTGAGAATACTGACTCTCTACAAAGAGGAGGACGGTAGGGTCTGTTTTGGATGTATCGATAGGTTTAACTGTCTTCAGCTCCATTGACCGGTAGGGGAGAATTTTAATGTCAGCACATTCTGCTTCTGCAGTGGTTTCGATAAGTGTCATTTCCTGTTTGTAGCCAGAGTAGAGGAAATAGGCAGAAATGACGATGCTTACCAAGCAAAAGGTAGCTAAGAGAACGATCAATGTTCGAAAACTTCTCCGAAGCTTCACGATAAGATTCATTTTTTAAAATAATGCTTTGGAAACGTTTTCCAGTTGCTTTTCCTAAAGTGTCATAGTAAATAAAGCATGAGATGGTACTGATACCACTGCCCAAAAGTTCATGTAACCATCGCAGATCATGTAAAATGTCTGAGAGGATCGCAAAGGAGTTAAAGCTGGAACGCAATGAGCCAGAGGAGCAGAAGTTGAAGAGATTTTGAATATGTCCAACGCCAATAACTGCTGCAGAATCCTCCAGGCATTATCTGCAAAAAACAACAGGGGAGACTTGTTGACTGAGACATATAATGACTAAGACAAAAATATAAATATGCTAATGTCTACAAAATTGACATCATAGATCATTTTAATGTGCTAATATGCTAAAATGGCAACAGCTTGATGTTGATGATCTATGCTTTTTTACTGAAGTGTATAGTAGACTTTTTCATATCCTCCAAAATATAGACTCCTGAAATGATTTTGCCCATTTTACTCAAATGTATATATACATACATTTTCCATATGTATAAACCAATAGAAATATATATGGAGATCATTTTTTAATCTAGTCACCTGCAAAAAAAAAAAGAACTTAAGAAAGTAAGCTTTGGTGAAAAATGCTAATTATGATAAAAACTGTTCAGTGGGGCTGGTAAACATTACATACATGTGAAATTAGGAGATTGAGTTTTTGTGTGGGACTTAGAGATGTAGAACTTGTTCTGAAGTATCTGCTTCAGTCTCTGGAGTGCAGAGCTGAGTGAGTGATTTTGTTTTAAGATTATAGGAGTTGCGAGTTCTTTTTCTTTAATAATATATCCTTTGCCTGGATTCACAAGGAGCCTCTTGTCCATTTTCATCATAAAAGCCCCAAGAGAAGGAGTTGTCCCTTCTTCGTTTTTGGAGGCAAAGTAAGAAAGAGGGCATGAAAGGAAGAACAAAATAGGAACAAGATCTTCAGGTACTTCTATCGAAAGCACAGCTAGGAAATGTAGATGAAAAGAAAAACCTTGACATGTTTGTCTCAGAATCCATTCTTTCCTTTGTTTTACTAAATTTATGTTATCAGAATTAAAACTGAGTCTTCCAATGTTCACCCAACAATCAAATGTCCTATTTCCCTATTACTTCATGTTTTTAAATACAGAAAGCATTTTTTAAAACAATGTTCTCAAGTTGCTTCATTACATATACACATAATTGTCATTATATTACATTTTCCTTTGTAAAACAGACTCTGACTTTTAGTGAATTCCCTTTTTTCATACTATTACTTCATGTTTTTAAATACAGAAAGCAGAGAACATTTTTTAAAACAATGTTCTCTGTCTCAAGAGAGACAGAGAGATAGAAGCGAGAAATCACCCCCCAGGGGGGATGGCCATGCCGCAATCCCTTCTCCTCATTCTCCTCTTGGGATCTTGGGCACGCACGCACATGCACCCAGTGTCAGTTTAAGCCACCGGGTCCGGGACTCGAACCGCGGTCAACTACGTGGGAGTCCAGTGACATAGCCATTACACTAACTGCTGGTCTCTCATTTTTTTATTATTACAAAACTGTATTAGGATTAGTAAAATTTGTCTTAATAGAAATTTAAGTTTAAAAATCATACATTCCATTGAAATGTTTCTTTTTGCCTTAGATCTTGACATTTTTTTAAAAAAATATGCTCAAAGTTTCATAATGTGTCATTTTCAAATTTCTACCAAATAGTTTAAATATTTTAATTCTTCAGCTTCCAAATATATAAATAGACCTGAATTTTCCCCTGTGAAACACATGTACCAAGTTGAAAACTCTCCCTAGTGATGTACCATTTATTTCAAAGGACAGTTAATTCTGTATGTTAGGAACTTTCTAATATTGTGTTTTCAAATAAAACTCTTGAAAATAATTATTTGCTCTCCAAAATCATTTGTCAAGTATTTTTAGAGTCTGTTCCCTTTACACAAGTTGAGTTGCATTTGACTAAAAGGAAAGAAATACAGCAATAAAAAGGCTTTGTTTTGATTTAAAATAGGTAACTGATTACTCTGTATCTTCTACTTCTTTGTATGTTTAGAAGCGTTCATGAGTAGAGCCAGACAATGATGCAGCAGTAAAACACCATGCTCTAGGGGGCCAGCAGGTGGCATGGTGGCAAGATATTAAATTCCCACATGGCCAGACACAGTTCAAGTCCTAAACACAGCAGCTCGAAACTCACACTGGGCACACGTGCGTGCATGCCCCAAATGCCAGCAGAATGGAGGAGAAGGGATTGCAGCATGGCCACCCTCTCGGAGGTGATTTCTCACATTCCCTTTCACCGTCTCTCTGTCTCTCCAGCAAATGCATTGGTTGTATGTCAAAAACCTAAAACAAAACAAAACAAACCCACAAAAAAAATTTAAAAATCCTCACAATGCTCTGTGAGGTGATCCCACATGGGAATGTTTCCTGTCCAAGTCCAGAGACCGCCCACGGGACATGGGCGTGCCTATGATCTGGGCTGGGGTGGTCATGGTATCAAAGCCCTTAGAAATATGGTCTCTGTGTCTTTCTCTTTCTGTCTCTCTCCCTCATGGAAGAAATCAAATTTTTCAAAAACAAAATTTAAACGCAAATGTTTCTATGTATGTATATAAATTATACTTGCATGTATATGTCATACATGCATGCACACACACACACACACACACACACACACACACACACACAGAGAATTTGTCAAAGGATACTATGCAGATACTTGCATGTATATGTCATACATGCATGCACACACACACACACACACACACACACACACAAATTTGTCAAAGGACACTATGCAGTCTTATATTCATTCCTAGACTTCGCCTAGCATATGCAATTGAGTTAAAAATCCATGTAAGTAAACATCTAATCAGCCCCATCCCACTCCAATTCTCACCCCAAACGGCCCCTCAAGAGCAGAAATCTATTTGATTCACGTATTTTGGAAGATTGATTAGTATTGTATAAGTAAGGTCAAGGGACCAGCAGATGGCATAATGGTTACATCACTGGACGTGCACATGGCTAACAGTGGTTCACGTCTCAGACCTCAGCAGCTTCAAACTCATGCCAGGGGCATGTGCATGCACGTCCAGGATCCCAAGAAGAGAATGGAGGAGAAGGGATTGTAGCACAGCCCTCACTCTTGGGGGTGCCTTCTCACTTTCTGTCTCTCTCTGTCTCTCTGGTGAGCGTATGTGCCCTATAGCAAAAATCTCTCTTTAAGAAAAAAAAAAAAAGTAAAGTCAAACAGCAAATTTGAAGAAAGATTAAATGTATGATATTTTGTTAAATCTTAATTTCTTCTGACATCAAAAATGTAACTTTTACTTTTGAATACACAAAGAATGAGATACTAGTTTTGCATATTAGAATAGCTCATAACAAAAAAATGTAAAAAAGCATATGGGACTAAAATCTGCCAACTCAAAGAATAAATAAAATTCAAATGTGACATTTATTTAACATTAATATGTACAAAGTTAGAAGAATGATAGAGACATATTACCACCCCAGTAGATATGTGTGTTTCAGTGTGTGTGTGTGTGTGTGTGTGTGTGTGTGTATGTGTGTATGTGTGTTTTAACTTGGAGTTATCTTTCCAATAAAATCCTCCAATCTCTCCTTCCCTACCAAAAATTGGGTGCTGAAGGTGAGGATACCTAGACCATAAAATGATATACTTGGGGCCATTAGGTTCATGGTGATTCGGGTGCTGGACTCCCACCTGGCTGACCATGGTTCAAGTATCAGACCTGGTAGCTTGCTTTCTAACTTTCCCTTTCCCTGTCTCTCTGTGATCAAATAATAATAATGATAAATTAATAAATAATTTTTAATATATATGATATACTTTATATACCAGCGATGTTTATTTATGCCTTACACCTGAGATAAGAGATCATAAAATAGAACTATTTGGAATGCCAAAGAAATACAGGATGTGAATCTGTATCTTACCTGTATCTTACCTTGAATCTCTTACCTGGTGTTTGTCCCTTCAAAGGGAGGGGATGGGGTGTCAGGAGAAACCCACAGGGTCAGGGGCAAAGAGACCAACTAATCTAAGAATGGTCTACTGTCAGTGTAAGTCAAATAAGGCAGTAAAGGTGATTTTTCAAAAGACACATATGTTACATGAGTCATATAAAATAAAGGAACTTCATTTCAGAATCATAGTGGAGCCATTAAAATGCTGCTCCAAAAGTGTAAAATATGTGGTCTGTGTTCCTGAGGATCTGCAGTGATACGCAAACACCATTATTTTGCTTTAATCGCATGCCCACTACAGGGTGAACTTGAGACCAGTTAGCAGCAAAGTCCAAACTATGGGAACTTTTCATGCCCCACCCCTTGCACCCCTGCCTTTCTCCTTACACATTGACCTTGGCCTTTCATTAGAGACAAATGTAGGGAGGTCACTGAGTGAATTGCATCTGTTAAAAACTCCCCCAATCTCCTCTTGGGTTTGTGACATGCATGCACATGCACCCAGGGTGTTCCTCAAGCTACCAGGTCCGGGACTTGAACCACACAGTCAACCATGTAAGGGCCAGCTGGCCCATCATGACTGTAAATGTCTAGTACTCTCTGGTAGCAGCAGAGAAGTTACTGAAGAAATTACAGGTGCTATTGTCATTACCGTCTTTTCTTTTTTTGTAAAGACAGAATTTAGAAGAAAACCAGACATTAGAAATCACATTGAATTGAGTGATGATTTCTTTCACAAAGGTGGTCTAATGAGTTATACAGATCATCGATGAAGCTTATTAAAGTTCAGCTGAAAAACAGCAAACGACAATAATCATTACCAGCATTTGATGTCTAGTGAGGATGCTACATCCTTGGTATTTCTCTTCCTGTTGACTCATTACTGGTTTATTTTTAAAATGAGAAAATTGGGATTTAGAGGGCTTAAGAAAGTCCCTAAAATTATACTACTCATGGATGTGGGAGGTTATAGTTTTAGATTCACCAGTTTGAGGGATTCACTGTTTCAC